ATTTATTTATTTATTTATTTATTTATTTATTTATTTATTTATTTATTTATTTCTTTATTTATTTATTTTTTGTTTAAACTATAGGTATCAAGTACTTGCATTAGCAAAAGATGCTGAAACACAAGAAACTGAGCAACAAAAAATTGGATCCGGAAAAAAACTTGTGGTAAATTTAGCTGCACAGATCAGTATATTACTTAATTTAAAAAAACAAACAAACCATGGGAATAGGAGGGGAATGAATGTTTTATGAAGAGTAGAACCATTTTTTCTGATTTTGAACTGATTTTTCTTTTACAGGAGTTAATGCAAAACAACTATCTTAAGATAACAAAGATTCAATATACAGTATATACAGGTAGTCTTCAACTCACTACTGGTTGCTTATCAATCGTTCAAAGTTATGACAGACCATCAAAGTTATTTACAACCCAGTTCCAAAATTCTGTTGGCTTCTCTCCCATCTAGTTCTGCAACTGGCTCCTATTTCAAAACCTTTTGCAGTATCCCAAAGTCAAATTATCACAATTTATGATGGTCTTGTTGAAAACAGGAGTTTATTTCCAGTTTACAGCAAACCTGGCCCATAGCAAACAGTGAATTCATTTAATGACTTCTGCATTCACTGAACAAGTGCCATAGAAAAGATCATTAAATAGAATCAGTTACATGATGATTTGCTTATGGCTGCAAGGTGTGTGTGTGTTTATATAAAATGAAATTTTTTATATATGTGTATATAATTTTATACGTGTATGTAATTTATAAATATATAAAATACATTTAAAAATATAAAATATAACACACAGAGATATATACACATACATGTACATATATACATACACACACAAACACACACATATTTTACCTGCTTTTAATTTCAATAAAAATGCAAATATAGCACCAATAATAATTGTTTTACTGCCAATTTTTTGTAATGCAGAATTGGAGTACAGGAAGGATTTGTAGTGTTGTGTAATATAACAAACTGGAGAGTTGCAAGTAGCTTATTGCCTCTTCATGTATAAATAACAGTGCTATTGCTTACAAGTACACCTAACTACAGTACATAGCCTAATTTTAACTCTAACCCTTTCCTTGGAATAAATCTCACTGAGTTTAATAAAGTTTTTTTGTACACAGATCTATATAGGATTGTACTATAAATTAATTTATATAGTCACAATCTTCAATTCCATCATGGGGTTTATGCTGGTTTCCTAAAAAGAAATCCTCCATATCAATAGGGGAAAACAAGGGGCTACATTTTTATAGTTGACATCATTTTAAAAGGACCTGTTGAAATGTTGAATACTATGGAAAAAGTAAGGAAAAGTTTTATTTCATGTTATATGTACAAGGTGGGTGTCTTTTGTACAATTTAATCTCATCCTGGCATGTGTTTTACCACAATCTCTGAAGTGGGGCATGGGAGGAGTCTCAGCTGGGTATTGTCATGGCCCATCTGCCCGGAGACTGAGGTAAATCTTGAGGCCACATCTCTACCCCTCCTCTGACTCTCTCAGATTAACCTCAGTCTTCAGCCCAGAAGGAGCTAAATACCTGGCTCTCCTCGGCGCGAACTTTTCCCTTTTTTTCCTTTACCTTAAAAATCTTTTTACCTTTTGAAATTGTACCTCTGTGAGGAATTTACCTTCAACCAAGTCGTCGGACGATCCTCCTCTCGTGTGCTCAGCAATCTGCCTGACACAGTAGCGGTTGCGCTACTGAGAGGCCTAGGAGCAGCAGCCCAGCGGTGGCACAGGGAGGGCCATCTCCGGCCTACCCAGAGCTCTCTCAGGCGTTCCAGGAGATCTTAGTTAGAGCCATTGCCCAGGGCATCTCCTTGGGCATGCAACACCAGTTTCAAGGGCCTAGGAACAAGGCAGTCCATAGGACACCTCGAGGCCATCTAGACCAACTCGGTCTTTCTACCTCCAGAGACCTTAGAGAGGAATCCCTTCCACAGCTAGTGAGGAGTTGGAGTCAGAGGAGGGGGAGATTACGGAGATGGGTTTCTCTGATGAAGAGGAGGCCCAAACCCCAGAGGCCTCATCTATCTTGGGCTTATTCCCACCCACTCTCTTTAGCTCCCTACTGCGTAAAGCTAAGGCCACAGCAGACCTGGATGTTCCAGTAACCAATCAGGACACTGCCAAAGCTGGGAAGAGTGTGGGAGCCAAGAAAGGTCCTTTCCACAGACTGCAGGTGGAGAAGGAGGAAATTCCTACCCCAGACCATTCCTAGAGGTGCTCAAATCACAATGGGCCCAACCAGGAACCTTTCCTACACCTGAGAGCAATGATTGCAGGTTTTACAACATTAACATGAATTTTGATCAAGGCTTGCAGGTTCCATCAGTGGACTCTCCAGTGGTAAGCGTGGCATCCTCCTCACCGGTGGTCACAGGAGACATTTCCAACTGCCTAAAACCAGAGGACAGGAAAGTGGAAATAATCATGCGCAGGACGTTCCAGGCGGTATCGTGGGCAATTAGGGCTGCCACGCAGCCTCCTTTTTTAACAGGTCTACCTTACTGTGGCTGGAAGAGCTCCATGACAGAACCCCGGCTTCGGACGTCAGACTCCTACAGGACATCACAAAGGTGATGATGGCCACCCAATTCTCAGCGGATGCCACACTGGATGTGGTAAGATACTCTTCCAGAGCTCTAGCCTGTTCAGTGGCATCCAGGCATTTATTGTGGCTGCGTAACTGGCAGGCGGAGTTCCGGGCAAAGTGGCATTTAGCAGGCACAGAGTACACAGGAGGGCAGCTGTTCGGTCCATCCCTGGACACCATCGTCGTCAAGGACAAAAACAAGCAGAAGGTCTTTCTGTCCACGTCCAGACAACTGGATCATCGTTCAGCACCGTACCCCAGAGGTTCCAGTTTTCAAGCACCTGAACAGGAATTCCAACAACCATGGTACTCTGCGCCCAGGTTTCCCAGACAGGGAGATAGACAGTTCTCTAGGGACAGGTTCAGGTTCCAGCAATCTAACAAGCGCCCCTTTCGTGGGGGAGGCGGCCGCCCCTTCCGTAGAAATAAGTGATTTGAGATCGAATCACCCTATCGGTGGCTGGCTTTCCCTACTCGCGGATCGCTGGGCGGACAGCACCACAGATGCTTGGGTGTTGCAAACTGTCAGGTTCGGTTTCCACCTGGAGTTCCGCTCACAACCCTGAATAGATTCTGAGTTTTCTCTTCCTTCAGGAACCCGGCCAAGTGCTCTCTTATGTGCAAGGCTATCCAGCATCTCCTGGAGATCAGAGCGGTAGAGCTGGTACCAGAGGGAGAGAAGAAATCTGGTTTCTATTAGAACCTCTCCGTGGTCCCCAAGAGCTCTGGAGGGTGGAGGGCCATCCTGGACCTTAAGTTACTCAATTCCAGGCTGGTCTACCATAGGTTCAAGATAGCCTCACTCAGGTCCATCCTAGAAGGAATTAGATAGGAGGACTACCTAGCATCCATTGACCTCACCAAGGCCTACTTACACCCGAACACCCCAAGTTCCCCAGGTTCTCCTATGGGGACAAACATTACCAGTACAGGGCTCTCCCCTTCGGTCTAGCCTCTGCTCCTAGGATGTTTACCAAGGTACTGGCCATGGTGGCAGCCCAAATCTGCTCCAACCTGGTCCGACTACACTGCTACCTTGATGATTTCCTGGTATTAGCACCTTCGCTAGCTCGAGCAGAAGGGGACTTAGGGCTCACCATCGCCACACTGAGATCTCTGGGATTCTCGGTTAACCTCGAAAAGAGTCACCTGACACCCACCACCGGACTCCAACATTTAGGGACCATTATTGACTCGATGGGGGGGGGGAGGCTTTCCTCTCAGAGGAGCGCAGGGATAACATTGTGCAAATGATTCTAGAAATTTGGAGGCTTCAATCTGTCTCTGTAGCCCTTCTTTCCAGGCTTCTCGGCAAATTCATCTCCTGCATCGGGATAGTGCCTTGGGCCCGACTCCACGCCCGGGAGCTGCAGTGGTTCCTGCTTCCCCACCAGAGAGACGGAACAAGCAATGCAGAGTTCAAGGTCAGGATGCCACCCCAGGTACGCCTCTCCCTCCGATGGTGGGCATCCCCAGCTCTGTCCAAGGGCTCCATGTTCAGGGAAGCCAGACAGACTTGTGTTAACTACAGACGCAAGCCTGTTCGGTTGGTGGGCACACCTGGATTCCCAGCTGACCCAGGGAAGGTGGACACAGACCGACCTCTGCAAGAGCATCAACTGGTTGGAGCTAAGTGCGATTCACCTGGCCCTACGACGTTTCAACACAATGGTAGTGGGGAAACACATCCTGGTCCTCATGGACAATGTGGTGGCCAAGGCACACATGAACAAAGAGGGAGGCACCCACTCCAGGTCACTGCATGATGAGGCAGTGAGATTGGGAAACTGGGCGGAATGGAACCTCCATCGATCCGGGCAGAGCACATCTCCGGGATGGAGAACCACCAAGTGGACTGGCTCAGTAGGGAGACTGTAGACCACTGAGAGTGGCAACTTCATCCCAGCATCTTCAACCAAATCTGCCAGAGGTTCGGGAGTCCGTTGGTGGATCTCTTCGCCTCCCCGACGAACGCCCAGCTCCTGAGATTCATATCACGGTTCCAGACATGGGAAGCGATGGACAACGACTCTCTGCGATGCCAGTGGCCATCAGGTCTTCTTTACACCTTTCCCACTCTACCTCTCCTTCCCGGGGTGCTCAGGAAAATAGTACTAGAGAGGGTAAAGGTCATTCTGGTGGCGCCATACTGGCCACGGCGCCCCTGGTTTGCAGATCTAATAAGAGCTGTCCATCAGACCCCATTGGAGGATTCCTCAGGGGGAGGTAACCCTGACCCATGGGAGTCTGCTTCACCCAGACCCAGACTGGCTCCAATTGACCGTCTGGAGAGTGAGTGGATTGAGCTAAGAGAGGCCCAAATTTCCACCAATATCATAGGAACCATAGAGGCGACCAGGAGGAGATCCACCATTCGCATCTATGATGCGACTTGAGTCTCCTTCGCGGCCTGGTGCCGCTCAGCTCAGGTAGAACCAACAGTGGCCACAGTTCCACAAGTCCTGGACTTCCTCCAGGGAGGCCTGGAGAAGGACCTAGCCCCTAGCACCCTCAGAAGGCAGGTCTTGGCCTTGGCCACTGTCCTGGGGGGAGTGGGCACACAGTCCTTGTCCCAACTCCCCATCATCAAACGGTTCCTCGGGTGCAACCAACCTCAGACCCCCGGTGATTCACCGTTTCCCCTCGTGGAACCTATCTACAGTGCTCCAGGCTCTCCTGGAAGCACCCTTCAAAGCCTCTAAGGGAGGTGAGTCTTCAGCTGCTCACGCTCAAGATAGCGTTCCTCGTGGTTATTACCTCAGCCATGAGGGTGTCAGAGATCAATGCACTGTCAGCCAGGGCAGATCTCTGCGTATTCCATAGTAACAGGGTGGTCCTAAGGCTCGACCTGGCCTTCATGCCAAAAATTAATTCTCCCTTTCATAAGGCTCAGGAGTTCATTCTCCCGAATTTTTGTCCAGCTCCCTCCAATGGGAGGGAGAGGTCTTGGCATCACCTTTAGTGATTAGAGCCAAGGTGGCGCAGTGGTTAAATGCAGCACTGCAGGCTACTGCTAGATCAGCAGATCA